TTCAATTCCTTCAATTCACTTACTTCAAAGCAGGACTAGTGACCTCATAAACCAAATATTGCCTAGCCTAGCATTTGTATTGTGCTTAACACTGGCTAGTAATAGCGTCCTGGATACATATTTCACTCTGTCTTAGGGAACTTCTTCCAGATGCTCCCACCAAAACGCCGGGTGAGCAATCACTATAGCAAAAAAGCCTGAGAGTTATATACATTAACTTAGTTACATTTCATCGTTCCAGTGGATATGTATGATGCGCTAATGACAATTCGAAAGCATTTTACCAGCAGCCAATTTTATTCAGGAATGGTTCTTTCATCCACTTTTCCTGCTTTTAAAATCAGTCAAATTCTTTCTTTAATAACAATCGGAAAACATGTTCATCAAGAGGAGGGGGTTGACCATGTAAATTCAGTGGCTGAATAAATATCGCTTCAATGCTCAAAGTAATGTAAAGGGTTGTAGACTGGCAGTTTAGGGTTCTCGGGGATGTGCTAAGAAAACTGGTGATATGGCGCAAAATAATTTTCAATGACACTGATACATTCAATCTTTTTGTGATCTCCTATATCTATTAAATCTTCGTGTATCTCAATGTTCCTATTCTTTCTCCCACACATGAATGTATGTGTAAAACTTGAGCACTGTGGTAGTAAGTGATTCTTTATTAATTGGTTTATTAGATATGTATAATCCCCATCCAGGCATTAATGAAAACAAAACACGTAGATCACCGAGGAGTCTCTTTTCGGCGAATTCATTTTCTTAGCTGTACAATCGCAAATATATATGTGTTATTTTGTTTGTATGTGTACAATAAGTTTATCAAACAAAAATACAACTGGTTATAGTTATTTAAACTAAACAGGTGAAGATTGGTAATTGGAGTTACGTAATACAAAGTCAGTCAAGAAAATTAGGTGTTAGTGAAATTAGGGTAGTTACAAAGGTGAAGAGTTGTCACAAACAGTTGTTAAAGGAAGTTATGTAATAATATGAATAGTTTGATGAGTGAATTTTACTCAGGATGCACATAGGAACAAAGTAGATAATACGAAATTACGTAAGAGTTTTAAATGAATACAAGAATTATAAGCAATTAAAGGACAGACAAAGAAACAAAATTAAGTCATCAGAATCAGATCAAAAAAGTTGTTACCAAGACAGTAGAAGTGGTTGAGTAATGCTCTTTCAAAGTAATCTACAGAGTCAAGAACAACCTATGAACGGCAATACGGTTTCGCCTTCTTTGTATCGCTGAAGCTCTGGCCATTCACATAGAAAAACCAGAGCTGTGCATACAAAAGAGGATAACTCAACCCCTTATACTGTCTTGGTAACAACTTTTTTGATTTGATTTTGATGACTTAATTTTGTTTTTTTGCCTGTTCTTTAATTGCTTATAATTCTTGTATTCATTTAAAACTCTTACGTAATTTCGTATTATCTACTTTGTTCCTATGTGCATCCGGAGTAAAACTCACTCATCAAACTATTCATATTATTACATAACTTCTTTTAACAACTGTTTGTGACAACTCTTCACCTTTGTTACTCCCTAATTTCACTAACACCTAATTTTCTTGACTGACTTTGCATTGCGTAACTCCAATTACCAATCTTCACCTGTTTAGTTTAAATAACTATAACCAGTTGTATTTTTGTTTGATAAACTTATTGTACACATACAAACAAAATAACACATATATATTTGCGATTGTACAGCTACGAAAATGAATTCGCCGAAAAGAGACTCCTCGGTGATCTACGTGTTTTGTTTTCATTAATGCCTGGATGGGGATTATACATATCTAATAAACCAATTAATAAAGAATCACTTACTACCACAGTGCTCAAGTTTTACACATACATTCATGTGTGGGAGAAAGAATAGGAACATTGAGATACACGAAGATTTAATAGATATAGGAGATCACAAAAAGATTGAATGTATCAGTGTCATTGAAAATTATTTTGCGCCATATCACCAGTTTTCTTAGCACATCCCCGAGAACCCTAAACTGCCAGTCTACAACCCTTTACATTACTTTGAGCATTGAAGCGATATTTATTCAGCCACTGAATTTAGATGGTCACCCCCCTCCTCTTGATGAACATGTTTTCCGATTGTTATTAAAGAAAGAATTTGACTGATTTTAAAAGCAGGAAAAGTGGATGAAAGAACCATTCCTGAATAAAATTGGCTGCTGGTAAAATGCTTTCGAATTGTCATTAGCGCATCATACATATCCACTGGAACGATGAAATGTAACTAAGTTAATGTATATAACTCTCAGGCTTTTTTGCTATAGTGATTGCTCACCCGGCGTTTTGGTGGGAGCATCTGGAAGAAGTTCCCTAAGACAGAGTGAAATATGTATCCAGGACGCTATTACTAGCCAGTGTTAAGCACAATACAAATGCTAGGCTAGGCAATATTTGGTTTATGAGGTCACTAGTCCTGCTTTGAAGTAAGTGAATTGAAGGAATTGAAGACATCCAACGCGGTACGTCCAACGTTTGCGTTACATTTTTGCGTGATTCGTTACATAAAATTTATCTTGTTGTAATCCTTGCACAAGTACTCTACTACCTCCATACCTATAATATTAACTCTCATATCAAATAGTTATGGTTAACCAAAGTAAAAAGCAACGAACTCAATTCCCTGTAAATCTGATGACTAATTTTAAGTCGTTGATTACTACATCAAGCAATACACTCCCTACAAATGGTTATAGTGAGCCACATAACTCACTTGTATGTCGTAAGCGTCGAGCTGAAACTGAGGATAAAACTGTACTGACAGCTAGTATTAGCACTACTCCCAAAAATTCAGTACCCTCTGCTCATACAGAAACTCTCCCTACACCTTATGTGCTTATCGAAAAGCTCCAGCCTTTAAGCTCTGTTTCAGTACTATCTTCAGAAATAGAACTTCTAAAGTTGTCTATAGGAGAACTTAAGGCCAAGTTAAGGGAAATAAAAAACAATGAGTCATTAAATCCTGGAATTTCTGAAACCAATACCAAAATATCCAAATTATCAGATCAGATCGCAGGTCTGTGAACTGACACCTATGACTATTCTCATGAAAACTGTAGACCTTAATAAACTTGACACGGAATCGGTATCTAAGGTGGATAAGCTCATTAACTTTGATACTACAGAAGTAAAAAAACGACTCGACGCTAAACTGAGTGCTATTGTCTACAACGTTCCGGACAATGAGGCACTAAAAAGGGTACAGCGCGTCTTACTTAGTGAGGCGAAAATGCCCAACTCCAAGACTAAGTGCTACAGGCTGAAGAAGAGTCAACATGACAAGTGTTGTCCTATTCGTTTTCAGTTCGAAACACCGGCAGAGGCCAGAAAATTCATCCACTCCCAACACACCCTATCGCAAGCCAGAAATTACAAACTAATAAATATTGCGGTGGACAAGACAGTCATAGAAAGGCGCGTATATAATTATCTCACTGAGTCTAATTGTGGAATAAACAATAGGACATTGCAAGCAGCAATTATACCCAACCCTTTGAGAGATAACGTAGAATCCACCGCACCACCCCTCTCAAACCACACAGAATTATCCTCTCAGAGAGCGACACCAACCGAAAGGCCACTAAATTATAATCAAATAGCCAATAAAACTATACCACCTATCACCGTAGACACAGGCATGTCACCAAATAATCCCGGAAAAAAAGTCAAAATCCCCCGAAAGTCGACCCTGTCCTCTCCTAGCCATGAGTCCATTGGTAAAAAAAGGGAGAATATGACCCCAAATCGTGCCAACAACAACAATGGCAGTATAAATAAGCCCACATTCCCCACGGTCAATAGTATTGGCACCCACAACGTGCGAAATAGCACCATGGCTCACACTGATAACCAACGCCACAACAATGCCACCCTCAATAGTACAAGTGGCAATAGTCAGAACTCGACCACCAATAACTCAGGGTATTCACAGTATGGCACACAAATAAATTTTGATCGGATATATGGTACAAGTCTGCTGGGAACTAACCCACAAAGCAGTACACACGAAACCCATACAGGGACACAACTAGTACCTAACAATAGGTGGAATAATAAACTATGGTTATCACAAGGTCCCAATCATTTTTTATCCCCTGCGTCCCTGTCAGCGTTGAAAAAACAGCTGGTAGGGATGTTAACACTCCTAAACCGCTAGTGCTGGCTCCCCCTTTGCATGAATATAGGAACAGTCTAGTTCACCAGCATCCACTAAGCACACTTGATACATGCATAAGTTTAGGTCAAATAAAGATCCCTACCCACGTTTCCAGCTTAACTAAAAATAAAAATGCCTTAGTCTATAGCAAATCCAGTACTCCAACGCTTAATTCTTCACCGAAAACAGCACACACCAACTCGATAGACATAGATGAGCATGATGTTGAAACTCCTCTTAGTTTTTAAGACACAATAAAGTCTCTTGGTCAGAGCGTGCAATTGTAGTAATTCTCTCAGTAACTGTAACATATTTTGTGCATTATAAGCAATGAGTGATCATGATTTCTAACCACCTACTATACCGTCAATTTAGTTGACCTAGAAACTCGACGAATATATATATATATATATATTTTGGGCTCATACAAGCGTGTCATTCATCTTATCCACCAAATATGTCAAATACACCATGGTAAGAATATACAGTCAATACATAAAGCTAATTCAGATTTGAGAATGCAATCCACAAGAATTAGGCTAAGCTAGATGACAAGACTGCTAGAAAGTATATCATATGGAGACCTTCCATTGAATGAAACAGAAGTATGTCTCCACTGAGGAGAAATTCAGCTGACCCGCAATCTAGAACACAACTGTGTAACTTGACTGTTCAGATTGAAGCAGATGGGGTAAGGTATAAACCTGTAACCTAATATAATATAATATAAGAAGGAAAACACTGTATCTACAGACATATCACAGTTGGGAATTAGGCAAAGATCAAGTAGAACAAAGGGACAGGCAGGGAGGGCAGGAGTGGGGGAGGATTATTGACTGACTAGTTCCAACCTAGAACTTTGCACAGATGTGCAGCAGTTCCAGTTTCCACACTCCATGTCCATGTAGCACACACAAGAAGAGAGAAAAGGAGAGGTAACAAACAGAAATGTGGGGCAAAAAGAACAGTAGTAAAGTGGAAGAACAATAGAAGTTGACTGGAGATTATATATATCACAAAGAGTGAATGTGGGCAAGGATTATGTACACTGGAACAAGAAGAGAAGTGAAACGAAGTGGGGATCAGAGATAAAACCAAATCACTAGCAGCGCCAACAACAACAACAAAAACAGTGATGATGAAATTACAAAAATCAACTAGAAAACAGTCATCATCTGACATTACTATCGTTATCATTGTTATTATTCCGATTCTTCCTATTCGATGGACAGGGTGCTGCCGTTAACATTGGTCGATTATTCGTCAACGTTGTCAATTGCAATTGTTGATAACCTGAGGCAGTTGGAATGTTTTGTAAATCTGTCACTAGCTTGACATCTTTAGCCATCACTGTAACACGTTTAGCGTGAATTGCACATTGTTGAGCCGACTCAAATAAGCTCACGAGGAATGCTTCAGCGGCTTCTTGTAAGGCCAGAAAGCATATGGCTTGCCAACGAAACGTTAAGTATCTCGGACCAAGTGACGTCGCCATAATATAACGGATATATCGAGAGAATGGCAGCTTCCTTCCTTATAAGGAGGTTTGTACTCCGCTGGTACGTGGCTATCTCTCGCAAAGCCCTAGTGCAGCACGTTTCTTTGGTCGTTCCGTTTTATTATTCTCATTATCATTATTAGTATTATATTTTCGTGAAGCATCCACTCCTCGACTGGCTCGTTTCTGTTCCCTTCGCACTAACTGTTCTTGTAGTTGTCGTCGTGAATTACGTGTTTTCGATGGTGGTCCTGGTGGTGGTAATGCATGTGCTGACGCTGACGGCTTACCTCCATCACCTCGTCTACGTGGAATAGGACGATCACTGAGTTGTGGAGTATCCCCCCCTTGTGGTTAACATACATCCAATCCGTGCCTTGACGCGCTGTTGCTATTTTCTTCGGCTGAGACAGTTTCTTAAGCACAGAAGGACGGGATGAACTGACATTGGACTCGAGATCAACAGACAACGATCGATTTGATAGCTTCAACTGTTCTGGCACCGTCGCTGTTTTCTTTTTCTTGATACCACCACCTTCAGCCAGTGGGATGTGTGATGTTTCCAAGTCTAGCTCATTGAAAGCCCGTTTGGTAGAGCCTTTGTCGTACTTGAATAGGCCGGGCTATCAATGAGCTAAACTTGGAAACATCACACATCCCACTGGCTGAAGGTGGTGGTATCAAGAAAAAGAAAACAGCGACGGTGCCAGAACAGTTGAACCTATCAAATCGATCGTTGTCTGTTGATCTCGAGTCCAATGTCAGTTCATCCCGTCCTTCTGTGCTTAAGAAACTGTCTCAGCCGAAGAAAATAGCAACAGCGCGTCAAGGCACGGATTGGATGTATGTTAACCACAAGGGGGGGATACTCCACAACTCAGTGATCGTCCTATTCCACGTAGACGAGGTGATGGAGGTAAGCCGTCAGCGTCAGCACATGCATTACCACCACCAGGACCACCATCGAAAACACGTAATTCACGACGACAACTACAAGAACAGTTAGTGCGAAGGGAACAGAAACGAGCCAGTCGAGGAGTGGATGCTTCACGAAAATATAATACTAATAATGATAATGAGAATAATAAAACGGAACGACCAAAGAAACGTGCTGCACTAGGGCTTTGCGAGAGATAGCCACGTACCAGCGGAGTACAAACCTCCTTATAAGGAAGGAAGCTGCCATTCTCTCGATATATCCGTTATATTATGGCGACGTCACTTGGTCCGAGATACTTAACGTTTCGTTGGCAAGCCATATGCTTTCTGGCCTTACAAGAAGCCGCTGAAGCATTCCTCGTGAGCTTATTTGAGTCGGCTCAACAATGTGCAATTCACGCTAAACGTGTTACAGTGATGGCTAAAGATGTCAAGCTAGTGACAGATTTACAAAACATTCCAACTGCCTCAGGTTATCAACAATTGCAATTGACAACGTTGACGAATAATCGACCAATGTTAACGGCAGCACCCTGTCCATCGAATAGGAAGAATCGGAATAATAACAATGATAACGATAGTAATGTCAGATGATGACTGTTTTCTAGTTGATTTTTGTAATTTCATCATCATCACTGTTTTTGTTGTTGTTGTTGGCGCTGCTAGTGATTTGGTTTTATCTCTGATCCCCACTTCGTTTCACTTCTCTTCTTGTTCCAGTGTACATAATCCTTGCCCACATTCACTCTTTGTGATATATATAATATCCAGTCAACTTCTATTGTTCTTCCACTTTACTACTGTTCTTTTTGCCCCACATTTCTGTTTGTTACCTCTCCTTTTCTCTCTTCTTGTGTGTGCTACATGGACATGGAGTGTGGAAACTGGAACTGCTGCACATCTGTGCAAAGTTCTAGGTTGGAACTAGTCAGTCAATAATCCTCCCCCACTCCTGCCCTCCCTGCCTGTCCCTTTGTTCTACTTGATCTTTGCCTAATTCCCAACTGTGATATGTCTGTAGATACAGTGTTTTCCTTCTTATATTATATTATGTTAGGTTATAGTTTTGTGAATGCTTCACTACTTTTATATCGAATTAGATGCACTTTTGTGATTGTGCGATGACCTTATTTGTACATAGTGACTTTAAATGCTGCATGGCTAGCAACAGTATGAGTCTGTCTCTCAGTGAACAGACTGTTTTTGCAGATAATTACAAGTGAAAATTGCCGTGGGCTTGTTCCACACAGCATTGTCGATGCGGTATAAAAATCCTAGCATGTTTAAAAATATTGAATATAATGTTCTCTTAACATGATATGGTGAGGGGAAAAACAAAGATTACAGCAGTCATAGAGATAAGTTGGTGTTTGCAATTATGAGAGTAAAACAAAGAAGCAACAGAACCATAAATATAATAGAAATAATAAAAGTAAAACTTGAAGGTATATAAGGATGGATGGAGGAAATTGTTTACTTACTAGATGAAAAAAGGCTAGTTAATTCTTGCCTGACACCAGTTTCATCACATTAAATATGTCCCAAGTACGGTATCATAGAATTGTTATCCTTAGACGTGCGAGCACACAGTTTCCTGAAGTTGGTGCTTGCTCTACCTGAGAAGATGCTAAGTGAAAGGTGATGCTCCAAGTTAGACAAAATCCCTTCAGCAAATTTATAACTCGATGTCAAGTGCCTATCGACAACGACGTTAACTATGTGGTTCACCGGGACACGACTCACCCTGTTGACAGTGTTCAGCATTCTACGAATTGTGACATAGTCCTTTTTAAGCAAACCAGGAAAGAATAAGGGTGGACAGGAAAGAAGAATAGGTAACATGCACGAGTTGACAAACTGTAAGAGGCGGAGGGGTTGAGTTATGCCTGAGTGCCTTAATACCACAGCTGAACTTTGAAACCCTAAGTTCCAATCGGAATGCAAAGAAATAAAATAAATAGTTTGTTTAGAATCTAGTTTTTAAGACACAATAAAGTCTCTTGGTCAGAGCGTGCAATTGTAGTAATTCTCTCAGTAACTGTAACATATTTTGTGCATTATAAGCAATGAGTGATCATGATTTCTAACCACCTACTATACCGTCAATTTAGTTGACCTAGAAACTCGACGAATATATATATATATATATATATATTTTGGGCTCATACAAGCGTGTCATTCATCTTATCCACCAAATATGTCAAATACACCATGGTAAGAATATACAGTCAATACATAAAGCTAATTCAGATTTGAGAATGCAATCCACAAGAATTAGGCTAAGCTAGATGACAAGACTGCTAGAAAGTATATCATATGGAGACCTTCCATTGAATGAAACAGAAGTATGTCTCCACTGAGGAGAAATTCAGCTGACCCGCAATCTAGAACACAACTGTGTAACTTGACTGTTCAGATTGAAGCAGATGGGGTAAGGCATAAACCTGTAACCTAATATAATATATAAGAAGGAAAACACTGTATCTACAGACATATCACAGTTGGGAATTAGGCAAAGATCAAGTAGAACAAAGGGACAGGCAGGGAGGGCAGGAGTGGGGGAGGATTATTGACTGACTAGTTCCAACCTAGAACTTTGCACAGATGTGCAGCAGTTCCAGTTTCCACACTCCATGTCCATGTAGCACACACAAGAAGAGAGAAAAGGAGAGGTAACAAACAGAAATGTGGGGCAAAAAGAACAGTAGTAAAGTGGAAGAACAATAGAAGTTGACTGGATATTATATATATCACAAAGAGTGAATGTGGGCAAGGATTATGTACACTGGAACAAGAAGAGAAGTGAAACGAAGTGGGGATCAGAGATAAAACCAAATCACTAGCAGCGCCAACAACAACAACAAAAACAGTGATGATGATGAAATTACAAAAATCAACTAGAAAACAGTCATCATCTGACATTACTATCGTTATCATTGTTATTATTCCGATTCTTCCTATTCGATGGACAGGGTGCTGCCGTTAACATTGGTCGATTATTCGTCAACGTTGTCAATTGCAATTGTTGATAACCTGAGGCAGTTGGAATGTTTTGTAAATCTGTCACTAGCTTGACATCTTTAGCCATCACTGTAACACGTTTAGCGTGAATTGCACATTGTTGAGCCGACTCAAATAAGCTCACGAGGAATGCTTCAGCGGCTTCTTGTAAGGCCAGAAAGCATATCGCTTGCCAACGAAACGTTAAGTATCTCGGACCAAGTGACGTCGCCATAATATAACGGATATATCGAGAGAATGGCAGCTTCCTTCCTTATAAGGAGGTTTGTACTCCGCTGGTACGTGGCTATCTCTCGCAAAGCCCTAGTGCAGCACGTTTCTTTGGTCGTTCCGTTTTATTATTCTCATTATCATTATTAGTATTATATTTTCGTGAAGCATCCACTCCTCGACTGGCTCGTTTCTGTTCCCTTCGCACTAACTGTTCTTGTAGTTGTCGTCGTGAATTACGTGTTTTCGATGGTGGTCCTGGTGGTGGTAATGCATGTGCTGACGCTGACGGCTTACCTCCATCACCTCGTCTACGTGGAATAGGACGATCACTGAGTTGTGGAGTATCCCCCCCTTGTGGTTAACATACATCCAATCCGTGCCTTGACGCGCTGTTGCTATTTTCTTCGGCTGAGACAGTTTCTTAAGCACAGAAGGACGGGATGAACTGACATTGGACTCGAGATCAACAGACAACGATCGATTTGATAGCTTCAACTGTTCTGGCACCGTCGCTGTTTTCTTTTTCTTGATACCACCACCTTCAGCCAGTGGGATGTGTGATGTTTCCAAGTCT